TATATCATGGCAGTAACACATTGTTTGAGCACTGCACACCTTCGCGGAGTTCTTGTAGGATCTGTCAACTTCATCCCTTATGTCACACATGACTGCAGAAACGTGTTCTGCACTGGCTTCAGTCAGCTTTAGTAGATACAACTTGACATGTCTCCCTTTAGTCTTTCTCCTCATAATGCTTGATTTTTGCTTTGGGACTTCTCTGGCTTTACAGACAATAAAGCCATGGAGAACCGCCTCAGCACTCATACAAATATAAAGGATTATAGTCCGTTTTTACTTAATTACTTTAGAGAGTAACAACGATGAGTTGAAGTTCTTTTTGAATGTGGAAATTGATTTTCCCAGTACTTTTTTTGGAAAGTATACACTTCACTGAATTTCCTAGTTCTTGTGTTAAAACCAATGGATGATGTATCAGTGAATCCATTCCTGGATTCTATGATATTCTACATTCTCAATTCTTAGGGATATTTAACCTTTTCTCTAGAATCACATTTTCTCTATTAATGTCATGTAGTAGTAAGATGAGAAACCAAAGAACGTTAATTTTCTTACTTTGTTCTTCCAAATCAATTTTGGTTTTTAGTTTCTTTGTCTCTCACATATATTTTATAAGCATGCCATCAAATGCACACAAAATTTCTGGTTGGGATTAGGATTTGAGTGTTGTTGAATCTCAAGATAAATTTTACAAGAGTTCCACCTTCACAATCTTCAGTCCAGGAAAATTGAATCTCTATCTATTTTTTAAAAATCTTTGATTTCTTTTATTAGAGTTTTATAGTTTAAAAAAATATATTTTAACCATGCAGTACTTGTTACTTATATCTATTTTCCTTTTCCATGGTCTCATATACCTCAACTCAAGCACAATCTGAAAATATTCAGAGGGAAAGTCCAGAAATAAGCAGTTCATAAATGTTACTTCTTGGCGCAAAGCCTCCTGGCCGGGATCGCTATGGCAGCGGCATCGCGGTGGGCTGGTGCTTGGTCGGCTTATTCCAGCAGGGCCACTGATGCTGCCCATCCCACCGCCGCCTCTCGGGCATGAGTGCGGCCCACCACCATAGCCCACTGCGCTGCCTGCCTCTGCTGCCACTGCTGCAGCCTGACTGGGGCCCCGCGTCCGGACCATGCCCCTGGCAGCCTACTGCTACGTGAGGGTTGTGGGCAGGGGCAGCTACGGGGAGGTGACGCTCGTGAAGCACCGGCGGGACCGCAAGCAGTATGTCATCAAAAAGCTGAACCTCTGAAAAACAACCAGCTGAGAGCGGCAGGCTGCTGAACAGGAAGCTCAGCTCTTGTCTCATGTAAAGCACTCCAACATTGTCACTTACAAGGAGTCATGCGAAGGAAGGGACAGCCTGCTCTATATAGTCATGGGCTTCTGTGAAGGAGGCGATCTGTACCGGAAGCTCAAGGAGCAGAAAGGCCAGCTGCTGCATGAGCGTCAGGTGGTGGAGTGGTTTGTACAGATTGCCATGGCTCTGCAGTATTTACATGAAAAACATCCTTCATCAAGATCTGAAAACTCAAAATGTCTTCCTAACAAGAACAAATATCATCAAAGTGGGTGACCTAGGAATTGCCCGAGTGCTAGAGAACCACTGTGACATGGCCAGCACCCTCATTGGCACACCCTATTACATGAGCCTGAACTGTTCAACAAACCCTACAAGCATAAGTCTGATGTTTGGGCTTTGTGATGCTGTGTCTATGAAATCACCACCCTGAAACATGCCTTCAAGGCAAAAGACATGAATTCTTTAGTGTATCGGATAATTGAAGGAAAGCTGCCACCATTGCCAAAGGCTGGCAGAACTGATCAGGACAGTGCTGAGCAAGAGGCCTGAAGAAAGACCATCGGTGAGGAGCATCTTGCGGCAGCCTTACACAAAACACAAAGTTTCCTTGTTTTTGGATGCCACAAAGGCAAAAACCTCCAAAGCTAACATTAAACATGGTGATTACAAATCCAAACCTGTTGCCACAATGGTTTCCAGAAAGACAGAATCAAATCATGAAGCAGTTCTCCCCCAACCACCCTCTTCCAAGGGCTCCCAGACACATGTAATGAATGAAGATAAACATTTGTCCAAGGAGAAACCCATCAACATTTGCTCCTTGAAGTTACCTGCTACCCCAGAAGACCACACGAACACAGCAGACGGGAGCAATACTGCAGAGTCTCTAGCTACCATTAGTAGGGTGGATATTGATGTCTTACCTGCAGCGAGGAGGGATTCAACGAACAGTGACTTAGCCCAGAAGACTGATCCAGGACACTTGAATGCCTTCAATGAGCCGGAAGATAAATGCAGTGTTTCCCAAGTGAAAGAGGAGAGTCTGCATGTTGACACTCAATGCAGTGCCTGGCCTGAAAACTGTATCCCCGCACAGACCTCCGATGACAGTAGTGAGGAAGGGACTGGAGCCACAAAGCCATTACAGCTTCTGCACAAAGGTCAGAGGCCAGAGGAGCAGGATCAAGTTG